CCTTCTTCTGCGATAGCTCTGGGACTGTGCAGGCTGCCCATAACTGCACAGGCTGGTTCTACTAACAAGAGGCACAGTGGGGAATCAAACTCCCAACCTCTGGCTACATAGCCAGATACCAAAACCTCTGAGCTATCCAGGCAGCACATAAACCGTTTACACATGTAGCTGGGGGGGAAGGAGAATAAAAGATTCCAGACATACATGGTAGAACTGCTTTTCCAGGTCTCCTTATTGCTATTTCTTGCCATATGTCTCCATCATCTCGGTCTTCAGACAGCCAGCAGTTGACAGGTAAACGTATTTCTTGCTCTGATGGTAAGATCATTCTTTGAAGTCTAATCTCTTTAAGGTACCAGCTGGGGTCTGGTCCACTGTTGTCATGGCCAATCCGTATTTTATACAGCTCCCCAACATCTTTCAGATTGATCTGCAAAAGATTCAAATAGGTAGTGAAAACTCTTAGTGTAGTTTACTAGTCATTCAAATAACCTGAAATTATTACACATTTCCAAAGAGCTACACTTACAGTATCCTTTCTGCCAGGGTTCAATAAGTCCACTATTCGTTACATATATTAGTCACTTTACAAAATACATGTTTTGTGTAATATAAAAAAATAAAGTATAAAACAAAACTGAGCCAGTAAAAATTATAACAATGAAATCCACATCCAGTATAAAAATGATCTTGCAAAATCATTTAATTAATTAATTGTTATACATTTTTCTTGAACTTGTTATTCTTTATGTTGTAAGCCGCCTAGAGTGGTCGAAATGACTAGATAGGTGGGGTATAAATATAACAAACAAACAAACAAACAAATAAATAAAGGTAAGCATCAGCACCAGTAAATCAACCATGTAAATTAGTTAAAAACAGAACAATGGCAGCTAAAATTATTCACTAACATCAGTAAACACCAAAAATATAATGGTGTTAATATTGTATTTTAAGGGGCTGAAAGAAAGCTGTGGATTTCCTGCTTTTCCAGAAGGTTGGATTTGATAACCCTGAGCTCCCTCTCCAACTCTATAATATGTTTCTATGATTCCATGAAAAACAATCTCTTTACTTGAGATAAGAAAGATATTGCAATATGTACAAAATAAGCCTTTCCCTCTAGAGCATTCTACAGACTGCTCAAAGGTCTCCTCTCTTTTGGTCACCAGGGATATTTCCGACTGAGGTGGCATTTGGAGGAGAGTATCTGATTATCATCTTAGAGCACAGTTAGATACTTATGGGAACAGAATGTCCCAGTAAGAACTAAGTCCTGAACCCTTGGTCCCTAATTTGTGTACCTACTAGGCCTCAGCTTTAGATCTCCTTTTCATACCAGGGCTAGGAATGATGTGGCCTGTAAAACTAGATCTGACCTGAGGATCCTCATAACTGAATCAGAAAAAAGGTCTTAGAAACTGCCCGGTCCTGTTTCAAACAAAAGTTGAAATGCCAATTTATCCATAACAGGGACATACTACCCAGCTCACACCAGATCTAGTTTCACACAACAGTTAAATTTTCCTCCACTTAATTTTGCAAGCTATGAAACTGGAGAGAGTGCATATTCATGAACTTAGTTAACTTAAACAGGGACGAGGTGATAACTCCACTTATCCGCAGTAACATCACATCACATTGCCTAATATTACTGATTCTGAGTATAGAAGGGGACAAATAATAAAATGGTGATTTGTTTTGATCTGTTATTTATCAAGGTTAATGGATCAATGAATACGAATACTGTATATGAATATTCTTCGATGAATCAATGAATCAATTCATTGATTTGTCTGCATTTTAAATGGCTATAACACTGGGCCCCAACTACTTAGAGACACCAAATTTGCAGAGAAGCTCCCCCAGATGCTTTTCTACAACTCCTGAAAGTGTGGTGAACATTGGATCACAAACCCCCGAATTATATAGTCACAAGGAGGACAACCCCGGGAAAGCTCCTCCAGGTACTTAGAGAGTCCAGAATCGCAACAGAGCTTCCTATGTCTTTCCCCAACATACCTGCCAATGTTGGTGATGATTGAATATTCGACATCCGAGTTATTCAACCACAAATTTGGTCACCCCAGGAGAGTTTACCACACAGCACAGAAGCCCATTTTGCCTACCGGCCGCTGATCAACTAACCAGAAGCCGATAGGCAGCCACCCCAACCCATCAAAGTTGACAAATCACAAAGCACGAAGCTCCCCCATGAACCAATGAAGCACAAATTTATTTGTGTATTCGTGGTGGGTTAGACAGACTAAAAAAAAACTTGTCCCCTCCCACACACACCCCCACTGCTGCGCGGCTATCTTTGCAAAGGGCAGCCTGGATCCCCTTAAGACAGGCTAAGGGAATCTAGGCTGCCCTTTGCAAAGATGGCAGCTCCAGCTTCCCTACCCTAAATAAAGCTGCAGTTGCCATCTTTGCAAAGGACAGCCAATCTCCATTTTTACAGGCATGGCTCCAAGGCCAGAAGGCCTCGGCATCAGTGATTAAGGTAAGAGGGTACTGGTGGGGGTGGGTGGGGCCTAAGGTGGTTGTTTGTTTTTGTTTTTTTTTAATACGAAGGATGAATAAAAATGGGTAAATATCCATCCCTTCATATTCATGAGGATCTCTGGAACCCACAAATACAGATTGATGAATATTTAATGAATTGGCTATATTAGTTGGAAAAAGCGATCCATTTTTATATTCATCCCCACCTCTAATCCTGAGTCCACTCCTTTCCAGAAAATGTAAAACTGAGGACTAGTAGTATTGGTCCCTGTTTCTGCCCTCATCCAGATTTGCTTTTAGGCCATCATGATTGTAGTGATGACAGGAAGCAGTGTTTCTTGCCTTGGGTATGAGGTTTTCAGTTGCATCAGCAGTAGTGAGCTAGAATTCACAAAAGGGGCTAACAATTGAAACTTGTCTGCAAGGTGTTACAGGGCCTTTTTTTGCTGCAATAGACTTAACATGGCTACATCCTTGGAAATGTTGGGAAGGAAGGAACTTTTAAGAAAAACAATGCTCAGCATCTGCAGGAAGTGTGACCACTCTCATTGATGTTAGGACCATGAGAAGAGCCAATGACTACAGCAAAAGCTAATTAGGGAGTAATAGTTTCCGGAAAAAAAATTCATTCTACCCTGCCCCTAAACCTGAGCTTAAATGATTATCCTAAAAACTTTCACCACAGCTTTAGTCCTGACATCATTATGATGGAACGTCATTATATGTGCTTTTTTGGAGACCTTTTGGTCAGGGTTGGCTGCAGTCGTTTGATTTTCTGAGGTGCAGTGACAACATTGTGATGCTGAATTGTCTGCTTAAGTGCAGTAACAGTAGGCTGAATCAGACCAAAATATTTGGCTAGCTGCAGCGGAGGTGGTGCCCACCAATATGTCACATAAAACCCTACTAAACAGCATAGTATTTTTCAATACATGTGAGACATGTTTAATGACCCAGGATGCATCATGTGTCATATGTTCACTTCACCTTACAATATATTGGGGGGAAAAGATTAAAAGGACCATCGGTGCCACCACAACAACATGGCTGAGGCAGCTGCCACCCTCTATACAGCAGTAAGGCCAGCCTTGAGCAGATCTGATAAAATAAAAATGGCCCTTTACATGATATACAACTGTCATGAAAATTCAGTCAGAAGATGCAATCATATTCCTTAGAATTTGATATATTAATAGAGGACGTCTGCTTGTGGGTCACAAAGCAAATGTTTTCAGACAAATATCAGTAATGTTCTAAAAATGTTTCTAAAACATTTTTTTTAAAAAACAAGCAACCATTATATTAGTATCACATAAGCTGTGAGCCAGCATTCCACTGATCGCTCTGTCTCATTATACATGCATGGCGAAGGGCCTATCTATATCTTACAAATAACTGGTCACTACAGGAGGGAATTCCTTAAAGGCTGATTGTATCTGAGTGTCACAGTGGGAAATCTCCCATAATTTGCAAAGGAAGGCCAAAGAATTTGCTTCTTTCCCTGTTTGGCCTTCAGGAAAGAAGCAAATTTTTCCCAAATGGGTCTGATTTCTTCAGGGTTATGGGTTGATGACCCAGTTATGGGTTACCTGTAATATATAGTTTGGCCCTAGAAAAATACCGATTTCCTGCTTCCCTTGGGAAACTGACTTTCAGTGACCCCCCTACTTTATTGCATGGGGGAATCCAGTCTGCCTGTCAGAAAATCAGTTTCTGATTTCATTCAGTGTGATGTTATACTCAGAAATTATTCTCATGTATTAGGAAAACATTCATCCTCAGATGCTAAGCTCCTTATCCAGCCAATGTAAATGATATGTAGGAGAAATTCCGATACTTCCATCTGTCAATACAGAAAAGCCTCTGTATTAAAACACACAAAGAAAGCAGCCTAGCACTACATGATTCCTGCTAGTTGTCTATACTGACCAACTGGTTCTTAATCTTCAACTGATCTAAGCTTCCATAGGTATTTAGTAATAACAAGGTATCATTTGGCTATCATCTGAACATCCTCCCACAGAGCTTGTAAAACACAACATTCTTTATCTTAAATAATTCACCTGCTGTTTCAGTTCTCAAACTGTCTCCTGCACAGATTGCCAACTGTGCTGATATGTGCCAAGTTACGTGATGAGTTCTGAAGGGGCTGACAGCTTAAACCTATGCAGCCACTGCTTATGCAAGGCATTCTGTCAGTATTTACCAACCTTAAGAACATTACTGTCAGTGGAGTAGAGCAATGAGAGGAACCCTTTCTCTCTCTCTCTTTACATTTTACTTCACAGTTGCAAGCAATAAGTATATTTACCTATCCATCACTGTCAACATTTCTTACATATTAAAAAAAAAAGACTTTCTAACATATCAACAGCACCAATAAGTCTATAGAATTCCCTGCCATTCCTCTCCTTCAATTATTATATAAGGGAGATCCATATTACATTGTAAAAATATGTTATACACCTTGTGAGTCTAGCAGGTTCAGTGGGTTTGGAGTGCCTGGCTGTGAAGCCAAAGGCAAGAGATTCAAATCTTCACTATGCCTCCCAGAAGAGGATGCTGACGTCACCCAAAGCATGAGTGGGTGGTGGGTCTATGTGTGTTGCCGCCTCTGCAGCTTTTGGCAAGCTATAAGGTCCTAGGGCACCAACAGAAGGAGGGATGGGTAACCCACCTCTGAGACTTTCAACCTGGACAACCTGGAGGGTTGCCTTACATCAGAATCAACTTGATGGCACCTGCTTTATTATTGTTATACTTTGTGTATAGGTGCACAGCAAATGGAAATAAAAGGAGAAGCGGGAATCTGGGCTTATAAAACCAAAGGACACAATGATTTCAGTACTAAGAAACAGATAGTTCTCCATGTTGATTAATGGGAAATACACATATTGTGGTCAATGATGGCCTGGGATCTAGGACATCCGGGTTCAAGTCCCCCACTGAGTGGTGAAACTCACTGGATAAGCATGAATTACTTGCTTGGTTTTAGCATGTCCTACCTTACAAGGTTGTAGTGAGAATAAAGTGGAGAAGTAGAGAACCATGCACGTCACTTTGAGCTCACTGGGTTTAAGAAAAGATATCAATGTAACTAATAGGAAAATAAACCAAAATTCACACTTATTCATGTGGATCCCAATCCTTAGATTTTTGAAACAATTTATACCAGCAAAATGTTGATGTATCGATGCTTATGCTATCCAGAATGGTAAAGAGGCTATCTTTTCTTCACTGGCTTTCACCAGCAATGGATGACATCCTGTTTACAAAACTACAACTCTGTAAGGCTGATGATGTAATTAGCAGGGACATTTTTAAAAATTAATTAAATCCTACTTCTGTCTTGCAGTGCCCATGGCTCCTGGGTAATCCCTGTCATCATCTGGAAGCCAGAGGAGCCAGGGGAAAGGAGGAGGAAGTCTTTAATTAATCACAACCACTATTATTTCTATCATCACTTCTGCTGATGACATTATGGGCATTATACACAGCCACAGTTGCACAAACAGGATTTCAGACAAAGGTTCCAAATTATGTGGACACCTGGACAGCACCAAGGGCACTCTTTTAGGGAAGATCTATGTGCGGTAAATAAGATTACTTGTTTCAAACAAATGTCACCACCACAAATTGCCATACTCCTTGCATGTAGAGGATTTCAGGTTCATTCCACACTACTGCCAGATAGGACTGGGAAACATCTATGTAGGATAACCTGGGCACTTGCTGTCAGCAGTGTAAGACAATACTGAGCCAGGCGAACTCAGTATCAACCTGGGCAGGACAGTCTGTTGTTCCTAAATGTATCTGGCGTCAGTGATGGAGTGGGAAATTTGGAACTGCAGATGATAATCATGAGAGCCCCATAGCCAGCCAGTCACACCACCCAAGGAAAGTCTAACATTGCAGTAAGCTGGATTGGTCCAGCTTACTGCAACTGAGAATCAGATATTTTGTAAACCATCTTCAATACTTTGGATTATAATAAGGGTAGTTTGCAATAATCAGTTTTTATCTCGGTGCCTGTGAGGACTTCAGCTAAATCCAGAGGGAAAAGGAAAGATTGAGAAGGGTTACAGATGATATCACAGTTCTTGATGGTCCTGGGCCTTTAACCTTATGAGCCTTGAGAGCTCCAGAGTGAACTGGACTTCTGATTGAGATACACCTTTCTCTGCATCAGTATTTAATTCATAAATCTCAAGATCAAAAAGAAAAAAAAATGTTATATATATAAGGCAACCATCGAAGCTATGTTTCAGCTTAAGTAATGCATTTCAAGGAAGCCAGTGAAGACAGTGAATCAAGTCAATGCAAAAATACTGACACTGGCAGAAAACATTAATCTTAACTTTGAAGTAAATGTCTCTGGTTTCAGCTTGTCACTCTGATCCAGAAAAATTAACATGGAAGTGAGCAACACTTTCTTCAGAGTAAGAATTTAACATTCAGGGAATAATATCTTTTACTTTCAATATGTCTTTAACTTTACTGCATCAGTTTCCACCTCTGTTGCAAGATCAGGTTCAGTCCAGAGAGGCTGCAGTTGTAAAACTCTAAAAAGAGTGGATTTATACAGCGCTTGGCTCAGATCACACATTAATGCAATAACGGATTTTCTCCTCTTACATCATTATCCCTCAAGGCAAGCCAGTCTTTCATTGCAATGTGTCTGGCACATGGAAACAAAACTGCAGACAAAGACATGTTATTTCCCTATTAGCTACTTATGAAACACAATGACTTTTTCCAAATGTAGACTGAGACAACTTTGCATTAGAATAAACAGCAGATTTGTATATCTCAGCCTTTCACTCTTGGAGAGAAAGTGAGGAGAAAAATCCCTCTTCTTGCAGTAAGATTTTTATGTGCAAGATTCCTCCCCCACCCAAGAAATTGCATAGAAAATATCAAAAGATTCTCAAATGTTTGTGATCTTTTTTTTTCCCCAAGGAAGAAATGCCACCACAGAAAGGAATTTTACTTGCATAGGATTCAGGAAAAATACCAAACCATGCAGGACTGTTACAATTCTTATGCCAACTAGTATCTTCCCTGCACAGGATTCAACAGAAGAGACATTAAGCTGCCAGAATATGGCTGTTTTCTATGCAGAACAAGTAAAAAATGAAATGAATGAAGGGGAAAACAAGATCAGGATCTCATCATCATAGGAAGCTGAGAAATGACCAAATGGTCCAGAAGGAAGTCTTGGCAGGAAATCTTAGTATGATAAGATTTGCAAAATCACTGAGAATGACAAATTGTGTGAGTACTCATCATATCCATATATATATAAACACAAGTTTTCCTCTGTAGGAATATGAAATTTCTAGATATGAAATCAGTTTCCTGTCTAGTGAACCCTATGTGCAGTTGAACAGGAGTAAATTTTGAAGAGCAGAGGCACATCATGATAGTCCCTATAGCTAATAAGTACTGAGTACTCATACAGTTTGTCATTCTGAATAAAGAGAGTCCAAGAATGCAGACAGATAGGACACTGGATCAGTCCACAGTAACAAATGAGGAACAGATTGTAGTATTAATGTACTGTATCTTAATTGCCCATTCACATTTCAAATACTCGACATTAGACCAAGGATAGGTTGCAATTATATACTGTTCCTGGGAAGATCGCTTTTTTCCCCACCTACTATGATGACTGCAGATGAGCTCAGAAAGAACAGGGAAGCCTTGGCAGGGTGATGTTGGTGGCAGATGATGCCATAAGCTCTGTGAATCAGAAGGTTCCAGTGCTTCAACCTTCTGAGCCCCAGCTCCACCACACCAATGTCTATGTATACTTAGGACTTTGTCTGATGTCATAAAACAGCAATGTGTGTAGTGCTGTAGAAAGGAACAGGAAAACAGATATCCAAAATTGGCTAACAGTCTTCCTGGAATGAAATCATCTAAGACAGTAATCTTAGTAATGCGCTGCTAAGTTGATTACTGCCATAAATATACAATTACCCTATTCTCTTAGGGATGCATACTGTAGAGCAATTCAGAAAATGAAATGGGGAATGAAAACCATTACAATGAACTCACTCTAAGTACCTGTCACTTCTTCACCTTGCATAAACCTGTCTGGAATAAGCAAATCCTTTATCTCTCTTTCATTCTTTCTTTTGTCCATTTTTTAAAAAGCATTGTACCTTGAATGAATCTGTGCTCTTGGGACTAAATTGCTGGTGGTTCCCAGATCCCAGCACCAGAGGACCCCAAACCTTGTTTTCTCCATATACATAAAGGGACACAGTTGCTGTCGTGCCAGCCGTTTCAAAAGATCCGGTGACTAAAGTCACTTTCCAGTCTTCTCCTGCAGGTAAAAACAAAGTGAAAATGAGAGCTGCTGACAGAGTGGTTTTACTTCAATAGCTACTGTAGTGCAGCCTGAGAATGGCGTATACCCCCATTTGCCGCAAACAATGCATCAGACAGCCTAGGGAGCAGCAGCTGCTGCTACTCACTTGAAAAAGGAAGGTGGTGCTCGTGGAAGAGATGGATGGATGGGAAAATGCTGAAGACTGACGTTTGATATAAATAGGAATCAATGCTGAAGGGGAAATGGGGCCTAGAGTACATGAGATTCCTGACTGAGATGTACATTTCTTCAGTTATCACTTCAAGCGGCATTCTTAAGCACATTTACTTAGACGTAGTTCCCGTTATGCAGAAAATTGGGAAGCCACATTAAAATGGGTGTTACATTTTAAATAACACATAGTTTCATGTATATGAGAAAACCATAATTATTACTTAATAAATAATCTTAGAACTGCAGGGCCGGAAGGGACCCTATGGATCATCAAGTCCAGCCCCTGTCAAGAATGCACAGTGAGGAATCAAATGCCCAGCCTCCGGCTCCACAGCCAGACACATAAACCCACCAAGCTCTCCAGAAGTTCTTAAGTTAATTGCTTTCAAATAATTAGAATATGGACTGGGAAGCTTACATTGGTTTATTATTTTTAAACTGTGAGCTGCTCTGAGGTGGACTGAAAAAAATGAGTTATAGTTTCTAACCAGTGATATAGGGTGCAACTGGTGGAAAACAGAAACAGTCCAGTGCACAGTTTCTGAGAACACCCTGAAACTTGCTAGTCCTAGAACCAAAATCATGTTTGTGCTCAAGAGATGTGACATCCTTACGAAGACCAAAACTGAAACTAAGGAAATTAGGGCTTATCCATATGGGACATTTGTACCACTCTGATTGTTCTTTATGGGATATTCTGGAATTTGCTAATGCAAAACGATTCCTTTTAACCGCAGGGTAAATGGAATGAGGTAAGGGAAATGAAAATCCAGTGTGGTTCCAATATTAGACTTCTGGAGTCTCTTCTGCTTCTCACAATCCCCTCTTCCAACTTCACCTTTTAAATAATATTTAATGCAATTAAAGAAGCACCATACACTAATCTCACCCCCATGGGAGGCACAAAGGCAAATTATTCCCATTTTCTTGAGCAAAAATTACATTTGCTGCAGATGTTTTCTGCTTCTAGATCTCACTTTTGCCGGCATAATGCAACGTCCCCCATTTTGGAGGCAGGCAGGTGGGCTAGTGCAATCATTTAAAATGTCATCATTTTCTAAAGCAGGGGAAAAGAAGCAATTCACAGACACCAGCTCCACAACATCAGTTTGCAGCTCCCCAAACGTGCTGTTATGGTTGTACTTTGTATTTTCCTTGAAAGGAGGAATTAATCAAGGAGTTGATTAATTAGATCAAACTAGTTCTGCTAATCAGCGTCTGCTCATTAGATCTGTGGTTACTGCAAAGGGAAAATTCTGTCCCCAAAAAGTGAACAAACAGAAACAAAATTTAACCCAGGGAATTAAAGAGATATAAAAAGTCTAGGAAACAGGAAGAAAGAAGTTGTACACATTAAGACGAGAAAAATGTAGTAGATGCTGGGACACTTTTGGGTAAGATCTCAGCCTGAAGAAGAACTTAAAGAAGTGCAAATGCTCCATTTAGATAAGCCTTTACCCTTTGGAAACTATAAGAAATGAGAAAAGTTCCTGCTGTAACAATCACACAAAATAAACTCTTAAGGAATTACCTCTACTAATGACAGATTATTGATAGTGTTTAGATAGGCCTTCAGTTTTCTGACAGGTAGCTGCTGCCTAAGTATTTCCTTCTTATATGTTTTCTCTCACTTGTCCTTTCAACACTTTGTCAAGAATTCCCTTGTCTTGCAGCTCTAGAAACTATACCAATAATGGGGAAAGGGGCCAGTAACTATCCCTTTCAGACCTTGGGAAAGTTACTTTGGCTACTTCAGTTACCAGAATCCCCCCCCCACCAGCATGCCCATTGTCTGAGGGATTCTGGGAGCTGCAGTCCAAAAATTAACTGATCCAGCTCTGCAACAAAAAAGACCATGTTTTGAAATGCTGCTGGACCAGAGGGAGACATTACAAGATGCCCTGAAAAAATAGCATTTCATACATGCTTCTAGAACATAGTAGATCTTAATCTGAGAAATGAAGCTTGTAGACAATGCCATGCTTAAATCCCAAAATCAACCACCAAACAAAGGAAGCTATTTTGCCTGATAAAAGTTCCTACTGATAATCATATGGCTTCTCATGACATATTGTCTGTATGTATTTCAGCCCTAGAATTTAGTGGTATTTAGCACTGGGGGGATGGAGAAATGGAGTGTGAAAGAGAAATGAAGCTTTCTTCCATCCATTCCATTGTCATAAGAACAATGACACTGAGGAGATATAACCCTAACAGAATCATTCATCCATGCATTTAAGTGCTTGCCTGTAGGTGTATACTGAAATCTGATACAGAAAATCTGAGTATGCATGTTGGAGTCACAAAATGAGCAGACTGATGTACTTTGTGATGATCACCAGATAATTAGGATAGCAAATAGTCTCTTAGAGATAGAAGTTAAAGAAGTAAGCCACACACAGGGATGTCTGCCAGCAGTGCTCCTGGTGGGCGACTACTAGAGGAGACAGAATAACACTGAATGGGTTTCCAATGAATTCTGCCCTGTCCCCAGGAGGACTGTGCTTTTATTAACCTTACAAGCTCACAGATAGTGGACAGTATACAGCTAGGTTACAGAGTTCAGACAGGACAATGGTTACATAATGACATTATGATTGGCCCAAGGAAAGGCAATTAAGCAAGCTTTCTATCCCCTATGAGAAAAAAGAATGGTGGGCAGCAATGCCCCTCAGAAGCAGCTGTGACATCATCCAGGAGCGTTTGCCCTCTACTGTAGATTAAGCCAACAGCTTAGCAACCTTGGGAATGGCACCCCCACATATGCAGGTCTTTTGTATATGAAGTAGTGAGTACAAAGAGACAAGTATAGATGTAAGGCAACTGTATTCCTGAATGAGGGCAAGTATCTAGCCTAAACCAGCCAATACGATCTATAAAAAAGGTAAGACCTCTTACAGAGGAATAACATTTCTGCTGAAAAAAAGAAAGGAAAAACACAAATATTGAGGACAAAACTAGTTGTTCAAAATTATGTTTTCCAATGCAAATATATATTATGGCCCAAGTCCTATCAGATTTGTGTAAGATTTGTGTAACATGCTGCAAATAATTATGGCTAATTGGTGAGGTGCTAGAGTACACCTCAGTTCTGCAGTCAGGTGTACAACCAGGAAAGCGACCAAGATGCACCCTGGCACCTCTTAAATTAATCACAGCAAGCAATGCAAAACTTAGAGTACATGAACAGCAGTAGGATTCTGGCCTATAATTCATAATTTGTCAGGCTCCTCTCGTGGTTGGAGTACATGGATTTGAGATATAAACATGTTCAAAATGTTCTCTTGACAGTGTCTTAAATGCTATTCCGTTTAGTACAAGGTCAGGAATAATACTTCATTAACCATGCATGGTTCAAGAATCCCGAATGGACCAAATTACTCATTCCTTCTCTTCTTTCATACTAATTCATCCCACCTTCTAACCCTCTGAACCATGATTAATCTTAACTCATTATTTTCCACCACTCATGCAGGGCTGATTACCTTCACCATCTGCTGCCTCACACCACTTGTATTTCCTCAGCTGCCAGGTAATGGGATCCCAGCCAATCTGGGGTTATCTCATCAATGCAACAATCTCACAAAGTACAAACAGGAAGCATTGTCCTTACTCAGTATTGGCTTTATTTGTATAGCCATCCAAATCTGGATGCTATAGTAGTTAGGAACAAATTTTGACTGGGTGCATAAAGCACTACTCTCCTCCTGAAAAGGTATAGCTCAAGATATCAATGTGCAAGGTATCTGCTCTAGTACACTTTACTGACTGAAGGTACACCCAACAAAATACACATTTTCAAGAATTGTATATGGGAAAATGCACACATTCAAATGTGCTCAAAACCCAATGTGTTTTAATCAAGAGGGTAGTGGGAGAATATGTATAGGCAATTTGTGTGGTGTGAGATATATGCACAGAATCTGTACATTTTCAAAAAAATGTATGTCCACAGGAAAAAAGAATGTATTTCAGCTCATTACACACACACACACACACACACACACACACACACACACACACACACACACACACACACACACACACACACAGACACAGAAGTGAGTTTGGACCAGAAATGGAGGTAGAAAAAAGGGAGAATTTGCTCATGTAAACTTCCTAGATATGCACATCCCTGGGGAGGGAAGTGGCGTTATGAATATTTTCACCCCTATTTGCAGTCCCTCAAACTGTTAGACTCTTCAAAAGGACAGAAGTATGCACAGAAAGCACTCCCATTTCAGCTCGGCATTGGTCTTGATTAAAAGATAGAAAGCAGTAGAATAATTTACCATTTTCATCCTCTTGCATTTTCAGCTGATGATTTATTTGCATTTCTGCCAAAAATAAAATAGAAGCGCAGTTAATAATAGAGTTGTCAGGTTACAATGAAAAGTGGAAGGAGGGAGGAGGTGTTCCTAATGATATTAACTCTTCTGCTTCTGCAGAGGAAAATAAATGCTTTTCTGTCATGAACAAGGCATTTATTATGGAAAGCTCTGAAAGCAGGTTCTTTTATGACAGCAAATAACAGGACTCTCTCCTCTGATCTCTGCCATGATCTCACGGTAGAGGATGGAGCTTTGGATTTCATCAGAACTAGCACCAAGGCCTCATAATCCACTCATAGATCATTGGTACTCCTCTCCCACTGTCCGTCTCCCTACTGTTGCTATAGCACCTCTGTGCAATGCAACAGCATGTGTGGAGTTGTACAGGAAGGGAAAGAAGTCAAGCATGGCTGATACAATGAGAAAAAAGTTACATGTTTCAACCACAACTCCCAGAATTCCAACACAGCCAATGGACATGCTGGCCAAAAAAGTAACTTTTCCAATCTCTGACATGAACCATCATGAGTTGGGAGATCAGGGATGAAGTAGGCAGGGCATTGTATCATTTCTCCTGAAGTAATACAAACTACCTCTTCCAGAGAAGATATTAGAGCAACTTCTCACTGAAAATTAAATAACGTGTTTCCAAAACATTCTTCTTTGGTCATCCCTTTAAACTCATGATATCCACACACCACCTCTGTTAATGTCAAAAGCAGCATACACTTGAATACTAGTTTCTATAGACACAGGCAGGTGGGATCTTTTCTGCTTTTCTGGTGGTCTTCATGTAGATAGGTGGTAGCCACTATGAGAACACAATGCTAGACTAGATAGGCCTTAGTCAACTCATTTAACTCAGCCTGTCTCTTACATTCATGTGGCATAAAAAACATAGAATACAGGATGGGACAAGTTCATGACTGAACACATGTGAAACTGACACAGACCAGAAATATTCTGATTCATTTTCTGCAGGAAATATAACAACTACTTGTCCCCTTATTTTCACTAAAAGTCAAAACACACATTTGCCAAGATAATGTGCCACTCCAAAGATGAATGCATAAAGTCAGGCTGTCCATATAACTCAGTGGTACCCAACCAGAAGCCTTCACCAGCAGCTGTGTCGGCTGGGGTTTCTTGGAAGTGCAGTCCAAAAACACCTGGGTTACCTAAGGTTGGGAACTACTGGTGTAACTCCAGAGTTTGTGCAAAATAAGCACAAACTGATTTACAGGGCAATTTTCTTGCTTCACTCTGAAGTAAGCCCCACTGTGTTCAATGGGACTTACTTCTAGTAAGTATAGATTGCAACTTCAGTTTCCACATTCTAGTCATATCTTTACCTTCAGGGAAGAGCTCTATTTCTGAATGAAGTGTGCCTTGAGATATAAACGGTAGCCATCTGAAAAGAGGAAAAAAGGAAGAAGAGAGTACATGAAATCAATATTGTCACGTCCATAGTTAATGTTAGTTTAACTAGAATGGTTTTTCAAAATAAATATATTGCACAGGCTAAGAAGTATTCCTAGTTTCTACAGAACTTTTAGCATAAGGTAATCAAGTATTAACACATGGAAACATCACACTACAGCTTTTAATTTGCAGAAAACTTGGGCAATAATTACATTACGGCAAGATTAGGGTCTAGATGCAGCCAGAAATATAAATAACAATTGTACAAAAGCAGGGAGCTGAAATGTGCTACACCAGATGTAAAAAAATCATCTTGGATGCACACTGTTGTCTGAAGTTATATTTCTCAGGCAGACTGAAAAGATGAGCTAGAGTGAGGTAATATGGTTCACAGCTATTAGATAGCCACATGAGGCCAAAATACAACTTTTATGCAGACTGGATTTGGGGGTATTTTCCAGGCCTATGTCAAGTGAAACAAGTGATGCTTTTTGTGGGTTTTCTGAACTGTTTGGCCTTGTTCTTAAACAGCAACATAGCACAGACAGAGTTCTGACCCCTGTCCTCTGAAGATGACTGGTGAAACGTTAGGAAGAAAAACCTTAAGAACACGGCCAAACAGCCCAGAAAACCCACAACAACCATCGGATCCAGGCCGTGAAAGCCTTTGAGAATACATTGAAACAAGTGAATTGCTGTTGAAACCTGCCACTTTCTGGGACAAGGTTAAAATATTCAAGTCTTTTACACCTTTTGATTTAGAAGGGAGCCATTAGGTAGGCAAATGAGAAGATTTAGCACCTTGATAGAGATACTCAGCTTCACACTAGGAAAGGACCTAGTTAATTAAATGTATATGAAGTGGTTGATTACTCGTGCATTAGACATTGTGAAGGATTGATAATTATATATGCACATATTTTTTACTACAGGACTTATTTTAAAAAAAGGAGAACTCTTCAGTTCCTAAAAATAGAGTGAAACAGAGAAATGTTTATCTGAAATTCTCAGAAGTCAAGCACTCTAGAAGCAAGTAAAATGTTGACTCTCTATGAGTTAAAAGGTGAAGAGGACATGTTAATAATTGTTTTCTTTAGTTTGTTTTATTTATACCCCACCTGCCTGTCAGAGAAATTGTCTGAGGCAGCTAAAAGGATAACTATATTTTCAGGTCCTGCTTTAAAAGTGAGAGTAATGTCTTGCCCTGAAAAACTAGGAAAAGGAAGCAACAAGGGCTAGATTGAACTGCTAGTCCCAACTAAAGTTAACCTATAGATTCAATATGTGCTTGGTAAGTCAATATTTTTATAAGTTGCATTGATTCACTGAGGAAGGCAAAGAATACTTTGATTTCTTCTTTCTCATAGGTTTAGCCAGTCCTAGCAAGGACTGGATACTTTGAACAGGAATTTTCACATCCTTTGAGGTTCCTCATCTCGAGGTGAGAGTGAGCCATGGAGTGCTTTGTTTTCCTGGTCAACCTCTCTATGAGTTGCACAGAGCTAGTGTCCCTCTGAGAAACAAATCACGCAGAGATAACAAACATGGATAGTTGAAAAAGAAATAAAGACACAAATAACTTTTATGACACTTGCAGTTCTTAACAAACAAAGTGGCAGTCATTGTCATTTTGCATACTTTTTGTTGGTTGTGTGAAACTAGTTTTGCAATTATAGTTTACACTGATTGAGACTAACAACTCAATTTATGCCCAACTTATTTGGTAGAGGTAAAGTGGGGTTGTCCTGAAAACTCTGTATTTCTACCAGCTGTAGAACTGTATTCCTACCATCTATCCTTTCATAATGAGAAGCAAACCACTGGTGATCCGACTGCTTTGTGTTAACCTCAATACAGCAGTGATGCTTTAGAAAGCTGCTTCAAAAGCCAGAAATAAAATGACCATTCTTTCATCTTTACCTTGAAGTTTCTTTTCCATTTTGGGTTTGTGTTGCCCTTTTTAAAAAAAAAAAATGGCCATCTCTCCATATTCCAGTAAGACCTACAAAAACGGGCCATTTCTGAGAGTTTCTAGGTCATATGACTCAATGGAGAATAACAGTGATCCTGACCTCTCTTTAAACTGAAATACGAAGCTACCCACATTTCATTGTACGGCTTCCTGCTAGAATAGTGACAGAAGGCTGGCATTGTTTCAGAAAAAAATGGGAAAATATATCTCAATACACTTTCCATATGCATCCAATACAGAGCAGCTTGGTACAAGTAGATCTGTAATGCATCCAGGTCAGAGATGGGGGTATTTGTATATGAATATGAGCACCCCCACACAGCTGGAGTTAATGAGGGTCCAGCCCCTGGGGCTAGACCGACCACTCACATGTACACTACCACTACCACCAGCTCCACTCTTCCTTCCAGTCACTCCAGAGTGCCCGGTGGGCTAGCCACTTGTCAGCTTTGCAGGGAGACTTGTCTTCCCCCCTTCTGCCAGGAGCCTGCCGGCAGTGGATGCATGAGTGGATGGTCTGGCCCCAGGGGGCTGGATCCTCATTAACTCCAGCTGTGTGGGGGTATTCATATTCGTATATGAATACTCCCATCTCTGACCTAGGTCCTTAGTATCCACTCTGAGTGATAGTGCCTCTCTAAGGCAGTAGTTCCAAAATTTTGCATAGTCAATGTCTAGAGACTCTACGAGTTGTAATCCGCTAACATCTGAGAACTCAAGTTTAGGCACCACTGATCTATGACCCTAATATATATGCCTCCACCCTAAACAATTATCAGGCTAAATCCAGTGTTATTCTACACAATGAAATTAATGGAACATTGTTCCACAGCTAACTTACAGTCCTCTGATATCACGGTAGGGATAACGTTCCTGTACTTTAGGTAGAACAAACACTATCCCATGAACACTAAACACTGAAACAAATTTAGTAGGATATCACATTTGTAGATAGCAGAGGAATGACTGATTTGCAGTCATCAAAAAAGTGAAGAAGTGTGCAGACCAACCACGTTTACAGACATCAAAAGAGTGATATTCTGGAATGTCTGTATAGCTGTTGTGGGGTGAGAAGCTTATATTTCTATTGATTTGGTCAGCTTCATTAGAATATATCAGAATTTGCAATAGAAGCAACAGTAGAAGTGTTCCTGTTCTAAATATGCATTTATATTCATTTAGGGAGAAATTGTTCTTCATTTTTGCTCCATCGACATATATCTTCAGGGCTAGCTTTGGGGTAGTCTAGCTAGATGCTTTCCCTCAAGGGGACTGATTGATTGATTGATTGATTGATTGATTGATTGATTGATTGATTGATTGATTGATTGATTGATTGATTGATTGATTGATTGATTGATTGATTGATTGATTGATTGATTGATTGATTGATTGATTGATTGATTGGTTGGTTGGTTGATTGGTTGGTTGATTGGTTGATTGGTTGGTTGGTTGGTTGGTTTGTTTATTTATTTATTTATTTATTTCTACCCCGCCGAATTAGACAATGGCTACTCTGGGCGGCTTAAAATAGAAATAGCATAAAAACAACTAAAAGCACCAATTTAATACAACAATAATGGTATCATTCAAGATTGAAAGGTAAAGATCAAAGTGGAAAAGTAAAACGGAAAAATAAAGATAGAAAAGTAAAGGTCAAGTAATGACAGGACGGAAGGCTTAACAAGAGGGATGCTTAATGGAGCTCAGTGACTATGTCTATTCAGGGTCCTATCTAGAGGAAAATAGGTTAACTGAAAAGCATTTGTCTACCTTTTTCTTTAATGTTTTACAGTTTGTTTGGGTATGAATAACTCAAATAAACTTTTGTCAATTAGCTTTAATTTAAGCCAAGTTTCTTTTTCAGTTTTGTGTTTCGCGCCATTCATTCTGGACAAAAAAACCCCAGCAGAACAGGACATTACTGGGCCAAATTATATTCTACAGATAATATTTATCAATAGAAAAGGGAATTCCTCAGGTGCTAAAAATGTCTGATTGTCACAGCATGAGCTTTTCAAGATCAATGGCTGTGTGACTATATAGAGAAGAGAACAGTGGGCTTTCCTCTTTGACAGCTAAAAGAAATTTATTATTTCAACCAGGCCTTTTGCTAGGAAGACATTGCTACCGAATTGACATGGGAATGCTTTACAATGAAGTACTAAGATATATCTTAGCTAAGGATGATCTCTCCCTCTGTGAAAAGGAACAAAAGAGGAGAAGCTGAACATTTGTGTCTGGAAGCAGGAAGCAAAGAAAGAACCACTTGGGAGCTTTAGAATGTGCCCTTGGGATTCCCCTGGAAGCCTAATGAGGAGCAATGGAATTTGCTGGAGTTAATTTGTTTGCTTTCAATTTGTGAACCAACTCAGATATCACAAAACACCTTAAGTCTCTACTGATCTCTCTGCCCAAACAAAAGTCAAACTGGGAGAAGACCAGAATTTGGATGTTACCCCCCCCTTAAAAAATACAAGTCCCAGAATTTATCAGCCAGCTTGACTGCTAAATCTTTTACAGGCCTTCATAAAGACCTTGCCTTGGAACACCATACTATGTCAAAGATAACAGAAGCAAACCTCCAGAGAGAAAAGACTGTCAGGAAAGGAAATACTGTGCTAATTAGAAAGTTACTTTCAAAAGAGGATTTTTTTTTTATTAAATACAACCTCTCACAGATGAAAATATATTCTGAGTTTTTTCCAGGTTCTCTGATGATAACTTTCTCACAGTACCAATACTGGGATGTGCTATAAGCCTTGCAGCTCAACAATACTTTCTGTAGATTTCCAAGAGACACAGCTTGTATTTCAAACATGTCAGCCTAGAAGATAACAAATAGACACCATATACACATAATTGTTAGTGCAGATAGTAATAGATGAATGTTACAACAAACTCATTGTGGAAAGATTATACCCTAAATGGTATTTGGCATCATAATAATTTTCAATACCTAATGAAATCATATTCACTTACTATAAGGGAAACACTAGCATGTACTAGTAAAGTATTCGTAATTTTCCTTACACCTTGATATATCTTGTAAACAAAGAGGCATTAAATATCTCAATTGTGATACATAATATGAGAGTTAGAATATTATTCTTATCCAGGATTATAGCAGAAAATTAATTTACAATAGGGACAGGCAAATTTGTCTCTTAACTTTTCTCTTTAATTGAATTTTGCAAATTTTAATAATTTTTTAAAAAAAAACTTCAAATTTTGCAAATTCTAACAAAAAAGGAACTGACAAAAATTTTGTTGTTCTTTGTTGTTTAGTCTTTAAGTCATGTCTAACTCTTCATGACCCCATGGACCAGAGATTGCCAGGCCCTCCTGTCTTCCACTACCTCCCGGAGTTGGGTCAAATTCATGTTGGTAGCTTCAATGACACTGTCCAACCATCTTGTCCTCTGTCATCCCCTTCTCCTCTTGCCCTCACATTTTCCTAACATCTTTTCTAGGGAGTTTTCCCTTCTCATGAGATGGCCAAAGTACTGGAGCCTCAGCTTTAGGATCTGTCCTTCCAGTGAGCACCCAGGGTTGATTTCCTTCAAAATGGATAGGTTCATTCTCCTTGCAGTCCAGGGGACTCTCAAGAGTCTCCACCAGCACCACAATGCAAAAGCATCAATTCTTCAGTGGCCAGCCTTCTTTATGCTCCAGCTCTCACTTCCATACATTGCTACTGGAAAAACGATAGCTTTGACTATGTGGGCCTTTGTTAGCAAGGTGATGTCTAGGTTTGCCATCACTTTCCTCCCAGGAAGCAGAAATCTTTTAGTTTCATGGCTGCTGTCACCATCTGCAGTGATCATGGAGCCCAGGAAGGTAAACTCTGTCACTACCTCCATATCTTCCCCTCCTATTTTCCAGGAGGTGATGGGACCTGTGGCCATGATCTTAGTTTTTTTTTTTGATGTTGAGCTTCAGACCATTTTTTTGTACTCTCCTCTTTCACCCTCATTAAGAGGTCCTTTAATTCCTCCTCACTTTCTGCCATCAGAGTGGTATCATCTGCATATCTGAGGTTATTGATATTTCTTCCGGCAATCTTAATTCTCGCTTGGGATTCATCCAGTCATGCTTTTTGTATGATGTATTCTGCATATAAGTTAAATAAGCCGAGGGACAATATACAGCCTTGTCGTACTCCTTTCCCAATTCTGAACCAATCAGTTGTTCCATATCCAGTTCTAACTGTTGCTTCCTGTCCCACGTATAGATTTCTCAGGAGATAGACAAGGTGGTCAGGCACTCCCATTTATTTAAGAACTTGCGATAGTTTGCTGTGGTCCACACAGTCAAAGGCTTTTGCGTAGTCAATGAAGCAGAAGTAGATGTTTTTCTGGAACTCTCTGTCTATCTCTATAATCCAGCACATGTTCTCTTCTGAGAAACTCAGATGAGCTGTATGAGAGCATGAGCAAAGGTATCCAGTGAAGAAGATGAATCAAAATTTGTTAATAAGAAAGGATACAAGTACGTGCTTTGCATGCTGACATTTTCAGATTCAATTTACAGTGTTAGGAAAGACTCCAGCCTGAAACCCTGGAGAGCTGGTGGTAATTAGTGTCAATAGCACTGGGTTAAATGGACCAATGGTCTAACTCAACTTAAGGCAGTTCCCTGAAGACTAGGTCAGTGAGGATGAGGAATAATTCACTGTGGAAGCCATAGAAGCTGAGAGTCAACCAAGATCACTGGGTTCATATTTTATTCTTCCACATTTAACTGAACAATTACATGCTGCTACATTGATTCAGACTTTTAGAGACCATTTCTATGGCTTTCCGGGTGCAGAATGCTCAGAAATGAAGTACCATTCCTCCCACTTCATTTTAGGTGGCACTATGGGACTGTGTAGCTTGCCCAAGACTGGCTGTCGCCCTACAAGGCCACAGTTCCAGCTTCCTACACTATCAAGCCAGCTCTTTCCATGTTTAATTCTGGTTTAATGCTAAGGACAAAATCCTTTTGCATAAAGTTGTGCTGCTGTGAACTGGGTCCAGTGCTAGAAATAATTAATTTAACTCATTGAATGGATTCTGTCCCTATCTTTCAGTTTCCTAGTGCTTCCTTTTGCCCCAGGGAAACTTTTGGGAGCCTTGGGACAGTGGGGAATCTTTAGGAGTCAAAAATTGCTGCCAGATACCGCTTGTCCTGGTACTAATATTCTCTCTTCAGAAACAATTCCTGAAATCCCTGAACAATATATATAAAAGGATTTAATCAATGTTCTGGTAAGTAAAATGATGGGTTTGGGGCTTGAGATTTTATTCATTTTTCTTTTAACTATGTCCTGCATTGAAGCCACTTGCAATTTATCTGCAAATACAGAATAAAAATCTCCTTTGGCACACTTACCATTCCTCTCTGAAATTTAATGGCCTTGTCAGACTTGTGAAGAAATCTTAGACCAGAATCTCCTCTTTCTCCATAGATGCACAAATAAACAGGAGCATCTGTTTCAGCTTGCTCCAAATGTCCCGTGAACACATAAACCTCGTAATTTACAGCTGTAGAAAGAAACTAGCATTACAGAAGATGCGAATAATTTGAAATCTCATGAAGACATTGTATTTCACCAACAGAAGCATTATTGAATACAAAATGGAATACATTTAGAAGGATGTTGTTCTGAAGCTCAGTAACAATGGGCGTGTTCCAGCCAAAGTTATTAATTTTTAATTCCCAGTGATTTGAATGAACTTTAATATTTCACACCTGTCTGGATTGTGCCATTACAGGCATACCTCAGTTTACAAATGTGTTCTCCAGGACGTTTCATAATGTGAAAATTTCACAAACTGCAACATGGTTTCCCATAGGAATGCATGCTTGAGGGTGGCACTATACATCTCCCAGGTGCAATGCAAACTTGCTTCGCATTGCGAAAAAAACCCACATAAACTGAGGCATTGTTTTCAATGGATTTTTATTCGTAAACTGAAAATTACGTTAACCAAGGTGTTCATAAACCAAGGTACCACTGTACTTATTCCAAAAGCAACTTTTTGTTGCTAGCTCCCAATGTCTTTTTATTTTGAGGAGAGGGTAACCAAGGTTTTCTCCAACTATCCTCCAACTCCCCTTTGCAGAAGAAAATAAAACAAAACATATAACATACACTGAACCTAAAAGATGGACATTGTCCATCTATTTTGCAATTTTTTAATTGGAAACACTTTTATTCAGAGCAACTGAAGGAGGGATCTGAAACAACTTACCATAATACAGTGGTGCCTCGCATAGTGACGTTAATCCGTGCAGCAAAAATCGCTGCTAAGCAATTTTGTCGCTATGCAAGTTTAAAAAGCCCATAGAAACACATTAAAACCTGTTTAATGCATTCCTATGGGCAAAAAAACTGACCTTAAAGCGAAGATCTTCCATACAGCAGCCATTTTCGCTGCCTCTAAAGCGAGGAATCCGCGCGAAAACACAGCGGGCAGCCATTTTTTTACCCGGCAGCCATTTTGGAACCATCAATCAGCTGTTAAAAATCATTGCTTTGCAATGATCGGTAAGCGAAACAGGGAACCGATCATCGCAAAGCAAAAAAAATGCTTAGGAAACATTGCAATGCAATCGCTTTTGCGATCGCAAAAAGTTCATCGCTAAGCGGTTTCATCGCTAAATGGAGCGCCCGTTAAGCGAGGCACCACTGTATGTAGTTACTCTGCTAATAACAATCGTGCACACAGTTTTTTCCCCCTTTCCTGGAGATCTGCTTTAGGGTGGTGGTGGGTATACCTCAAGGACTGTAAATCCCCTGATCAAAACAGGGAGTAGCCATCTGGCCACTCTAAGTTGGTGGGGATTTGGGGGGTTGGGGAAGATTATTTCTGATTATTTTCAGGCCTGCTGCTGGCAATGGTGAATGTTTGGTTCCCAAGCCCACCAAAAGTGCCCTCCTCTGTTATAATTATTATGCTAACAGTTCTGGCTTCAGTCTTATGGTTCTTATATAGTAGAGAGATATATTAATACTTGGATAAAGGCTTCTTCCTTTTTCTACAACTGGAAGTTCACACACAGTATCTCCATTCCCCCGACTCCTTGACAACCATTTATTCACTGGAAAACTCAGAGTTTTCCCACTCTTTAAGTGTCGCAATATCACCTATGGAAGAAAGAACAATCAAAACCCATTAATATATTTCTTTTACTGATTTTTGTTCCTCAGGGCTTGGAAATGTTACCTTTTTCACTGCTGCTTCCAAAATCTCCCAGCTCCCAAACTGGCTGGGGATTTTGAGAACTGTAATACAAAGAGTATTCTTTCCAACCCCTGGTGCTTCTGTTACAGGGTAGAATATAACTAATGAAAAATAAATAAATTACAGCTTCAAAAACTGGCAACCATTAAAATATCACAGCCTTTTCTACATGCCCAGATAATAAATGAACTAATAGTAGCAGTGTGTTTCGCACTGTTAACTGCAGTAAGAAATTAATCTCTTTAAACTGGTGGTTGTTCTGGGTTTTTCAGGCTCTTTGGCCGTATTCTGAAGGTTCTTCCTAACGTTTTGCCAGTCTCTGTGGCCGGCATCTTCAGAGGACAGGAGTAGCACTGCTGACCAGAGCACAGAATGCTACTCCTGTCCTCTGACCGGCGCACGCCGCCAGCCACAGAGACTGGCGAAACATTAGGAAGAACCTTCAGAACACGGCCAAAGAGCCCAAAAAACCCACAACAACTATTAGATCCTGGCCGTGAAAGCCTTCGCGAATACATCTTTAAGTAGCATATTTTCATTTTGACATGAGCCACTCATGAGCCTGTCTACAATGGGAAATTTGGTGTGGTCTAGTTCATGCTTAAAAGATTCGTAATTGCAATTTATTTAACTCTCTTCTAAGCAATCCTTCTGTTCACACTGGAGATCATAATATAGATCCATACAAAGTAAGGTTTACCTAGTTTACTCACAAATAAATTTACCTCACTCATGAATGAAGAGGTGGCAGCAGCCAAGAACAACTGCAGCATGAGGATGAGGGGAGAACATCAGAGTAAAGATTGGGAGGATCTCTTTTTCCAGCCTTTCTCTGAAGTTGGGGCTCTGCTACCTTGTGGGGCAGCACCCAAGAAATAACAGCGCACCTCCCTGCCTTTTCTCTCAGACCTCATTCAGGAAGCTTGGATGACTTTCCTTTTTTGTTTTGTTTTGTTTTGTTTACAATAGTATATGGCATATCGAAATTCCAATGCATCAACCTGGCATGGTTTTAGAATTTCACTGTGTTGGTTAGGGAAATATTAAAAATAAAAGAAGATGAAAATAGAGGAGGAGGTTTCTCCACTCTCTGTTTTAATGCCACAATCCACCTAATACATCACAGAGTTGTCTCCTCAGATAATGCTTCCTTCCGTGTCATTTTGGTGAAAGTACCTGACTGTGAAGGGTAAACAAAGCTATTTTACTTGTCATTCAATCATGCCAGAAAGAGTGCATGCCCTAGCCCGGTGCCAGTTTGCTGTGGGACAGCTCTTAAAGGGAGAAGGGTGGTTCATTCTAAGTAGAAACACAAACAACATCCCTTTTTTAAAATGCTACAAAGTGCCATTAGGATTCAATACTGTATACCATAACTAGATGTCAGTATGTAAAGCACTTTCTCTGGTTTTGTTTATTGTCTAAAACTTTGCATGTTCACTGGAAGAGCTCCCTCTACTGCAAGACAGGAAAGTCAAATGGTAGTTGCAACACCAGAAAACACAGCTTTGCAATTTGTTATTTGTTACCTTAAATGAAGGTTGGAAGGCAAAAACTATTCTTGTTGTGCCTTGAACTCAGATGTTAATGAAAAGTGAGACCAAACTGTAGGTTTGGGGGGGGGGGAAGGTAAATAATGAAATAGCTGGAGCTAAACTAAACTGCTTCTATTTCTACCTGAATGTTCTACTTCTAAAATTAAGATTTTAAAACTAATGCTAGAAGCTTTTATTACCACCTGATTTTACTTTTAAAATTTCAGCTTGTAAGCTCTAGTGCCAGAAATGAAAAAGTCTGACCAGGAGCAGCCTGCCAGAAAAGATGCAGACATGTTTCTAGTTTTCCAAAGCTATAGCAGAGAGGGAAGTTTCTGATGACCTAACTTGGAGGGCATCGACATTGCCATATAGATATGATACTCTATGTGGGTTGCTGATGGGCACAGTTTGGAAAAAATAGAAGATTGTATCTGTATCTGTTTCTACTTAGAGCAAGCCATCCTTCCCATTTAAGAGCAGTTACGCACCTTTCTGCCCAGTGGCAGAGCATTCATTAATTTTTGGTACATTTGATGTTTAGCCTCATATTGGGACTCTAAATTAATTTTTTACATAGTACCTGGTAGGTTGAAAACCTAGATTTTTCAATATTCCACAGCCTTAAATCAGCTACCCTGTTTCCCCGAAAATAAGACCTAACCCGAAAATAAGCTCTAGTATGATTTTTCAGGATGCTCGTAATATAACGCCTAAAATAACCCCTAATTAAGTGAAACCCCACCCTCCACCATTGTGCAGCAACCAGAAGATTACATGATTGTATTTGAATAAATGTAGATTGTTGTACATAAAAAAATTAAAACATCCCCTGAAAATAAGCCCTAATGCAAAAATTAATATAAAACCCTGTCTTATTTTCAGGTAAACATGGCATACGAACTAGTACTTACGCACATATACCCAAGACTGATAAGACAATACACATGTATTAAATGAATGAAAACGTTGCATTAAAGAAACATATCACATTTCTCTGCTTTCACTGTAAGACTGCATACTGCCTGTCTGCATTTGTGCTTTTCTATAAAATCAAGCCTGATTACAATAAATCAGCAGCATTAATCAATAAGCAAATGTAAATTCAATAAGCAATTGACACTTTTTTAAGGTCCTATGTTATATTTTATTAATGGAACTAGCTGTACTCATTAATGGCATAGTCCCAGCTGGAGAGTAAAAGGCACTTCTTGGGATGTAATTGCATGTTGGAAAAATAATTGATTGGGCTTTCATTTAGTGCATTGAACCTACGATTCAGAGCATAGTAAACGTTTCATATTGGTACTTAGTGTTGTGCCATTTATAAAGAGCTACTGTTTATAGAGAATTTATATCTTTTTTCTGTGTAGGTAAGAACTGTTACACAGCTAACAGCTGATACACCTCTATTTTCAGAATGCTCAGGCTAACTATTACAAATTCACATTTTAAACAAATTCATAAAATAATTCATTATGTGTAAGGACAATCGAAAATATATTAGACCTCTTACCTCTTCCAACATCAATTCTGGCTGTTCACCTGTACCATCATGCCCTATTCTGATTTTGTAAATTTTTCCAATATGTTTAATATCAACCTGGAATGGAAAAGGGAAAGACAGTATAACAAATACCTAAAGCTAGATTACATTTTTCATAAAACCATCATAATGGATTTTTATATTCATTTCAAAAACGACAATGATTGATTGATTGATTTAATTATTATACCACCTATTTGGCCATAGGACACTCTGCGTGGTTTACAAGAAACACAAACAACATAATTAAAATATGATTTAACAGAACAGGAAATAATAAAATACAAAAAAGTGCAATCAAAAGCATAAAAATACATTTACATAAAACTTTAAAAGCATTTGATTATGATTAGGCATTCAAAAGTGCACAGGCAGATGCACCCAACACCACAACCCTAAATGTGCATGGGATTGCAGCTCAGTGATTTTAATAATCCATATACAAAGGTGCCGTTGTAACTCTTGAATCATTAGACAATAATAAACACAAAGTTTCATTTTAAGTTTAAAGCAATGTCTATAAGTTACTTTACTGTGTTTCTAAACACAAAGAGGAGGAGGGTAATGGTGCCCAGCAAAGAATGTATTTCATGTCTACATTTCAGTGCATCTTTCTTTCTAAAAAGTCCTTACTTGTTACGATTCAATGATGCTGCGTTATGGAGAGAATTCTAGCAAGTATTGTTCATACCCATTGCACCATCATTATGACTAGAATAAAAAGACTGGCACTTTGCTTTTGAAATAGAAACATTAAAAACAAGAATCTGTACCCCCTGCATCAGTTCCTTGTCATGCATTCTTTAACCACCTCCTCCTGGGTATCAAAATCTAATAAAAAGTTATATAACACCTTAATATGCTTGTCTTTCCATTTGGAAATTTCCATTTGGAATGTTCTTGCATACTAAAAAAGAAACTACAAATAAATTTATCCTTGACACAAGACAGCAAAACATTTTTGGCGAGAAGCATTCTCAAGACAGATTATTGCACTTTCTGTGAATGAATAAAACTTAAATTATAAGCACTGCTGCCTTGCAGTGCGGATTTTTAAAAGTGGAAGCCTTATATGGGTTGTTTGCTTCTTCCTGATCAGTCAACCTGCCTTTTTTAGTGTTGCCTCCATGTGTGTTCGAAAGAGTAAACGTTCTGGAGACCCTTTGAGCAAATCATATGCACTGCCACTGCTGCCATCACAAAATCTTTTGCCATTGTCTTGCACTGAAGGCAGGATCACTTATAGGAGTATGTATGACTCTGCATTCTCTCTGCCTCTGTATTCCACTGTCAACTACGTATTTTCATTCTCTGTGACCTATGTGAATTGTTCTTTCCCTCCATGCTATAACAATCACATCAAGGAGTATCACCACGATATATTTCCCAGTACTGAAAAAATTCTATGTATCAACCCTGAACGATTTACCTGGTACATATCAAACATTTGTGTAACTAAGCCATCGTATGATATGTAACAAAATAATAGACTTTCCTTCCCTAGACATCAAATAGACCACCACCCTCAAAACACAATGCAGTGCAAACACTTTTTTAAAATAACTGTAGGGTGCGAAGAGTGGGTTGTTTGGTGTCAAAATGCCATATCTTGCTGGTTTAACCCTTTATCCTGGGGGATTAGGCCACAGTTCCATAGAGTGTGGTTGCAGTCCACAGCCTTTGCTAGTTTGATTTTCAGTTTTGCCCATAACAGTGTGATGGCCTCTCTGGGTGACCTGACACCTGGTGTGTGCTGCTCTACATATGTCAGAGTGTGATTATGCCACAACATGCATTTCCGGCATCGCACTTTAGAAACAGCACTTTAGAAAGCATCAGCTAAAAGACTGTCTGCATCTCTTTGATGTAATGAACTGTCTCGGCCTTGTGAGGTTTAGATGGCAGAGAGATCGGGGGGGGGGGGGGAAAGACTGAATATTTCAGTTCTGAACATCAAGAAGTAGGGGAAAAATGAGAAATGTGGATTTATTTTAAAGGTCTACAAGTCTACTCTTCAATGAACTTTATTTATGGTTGATTAGTGAACCAAGAGTACTGGATATTACTGAACCAAGGTAAAAGAAAGAAGTAATATACTTAACACACCTCGATCATTAAATTATTAATGACATGTATTAATATATTATTGAATAGAGACACCTGATTAATATCTAATAGGGCAGACTGATTACTACATTGAAACATTTAATTATTAATGAACTAAGCTGGACTACTAACGAACTGAGGCAATTTGATTATTCAGAGTGATATCATTATTTCTTTTCTGGCAAATACAACTTCCTATTGATACAGTAAGGTTAACTGGTTATAATGAATTAGGAAAATGTCAATTGCTAGTAATTTGATATAGATAATTCAGAAATGGAGTAGATGAGGTGCCTCCATCTTATCACACCTGGGACTTAGCCATTAAGAGTTTCTTGAGCCTATAGAGAAGCAGCATACTGTTGGGAAAATAAATTCCTATTTTAACACAGTACACACAGTGTGTATATGTGTGCATGTGCATGCACACAGAGAGCAAGATAAAAAAAGATCTCAAGTGATCCTTATGAGCACAAACAATATTTGCAGGAGTCCATGAATACCCTCAAAGTATGCAGCTGTCCCTCCTTCCTGGAAACTGTCCCCGCCCAGGTTGAAAAATTCAGTCACAATACCCCTTCTTCAATTCTGTGCATATATAAGTTGCTCAGAAGTGGAGACTGTCACATTTGTTTTAATTTTTTTCCTTCCAAACTTGTCACAATTCTTGATTCAAACCTCCCTCTCTAGAGTCACTCAGTCACACTGCACTTGCTCATCCTGGGGAGTCAGATGTGGTAAAGGCTATGGAAGTTGACTGGAACCATATCACTCCCAGCTTGCCTCTGTCTCCCAGACTTAATGGTGCTCCAGGGTGATGAAAACAAAGAATTCCCAAGGTTAAGGCACTTAGAGGCAGTGCACCAACTCTGTGAGGTGGCTGCTACCACTGCCACAAAAACACTGAAAAATCCCAGGAGCTGGTCAAGACAAGGGCTGGTTTTAGTACAGACAGCTGCTTGAAAGGATTTTTATAGTTTATTTAAAAGGAAGAAAGAAACAAAAGCAAGTAAAAAAGGACAAAAGCGCAAACATTGCAAATGGTTACAAGAAATGGTTTTTCAAAATGCAGGTGCAAATGTGGAGATGGTTAAAAAACATTCAAGAAGAAAACACACCAGAAAATAATAGAAGTAATATATCATATCTAAGGCACTTTAGCAGAGAGATAGTGTAGTTGTAGACTACATGTACAAAGGCACAGGTTAATAGGGTGGTAAGCCAACCCAATTTTCTCCTTAGAATCAAACTAAGGCCTTCCAGGTATGTCAGAATAGCAGGGGAGAAAGCACTTTTCTCCTCAGAGACATGCTAGACTAACTAATTTTTTTTTAAAAAAATCCTTATATACAAGTATATGAGCCATTATATACCTGTTGCCAACAGAATCTTAATCTTGTTTCGTCAGGACAAAAGGCAGCTTTCTGACCTGCTGTCTTTTTCACTGCCAAATCTCCATAACTCTCTGGGAAGGAAGCAAACTGACTCCCTTCAAGTCAAGGGATGTAGTCAAGGTGTTAGAGTTGTTATGGGGTTGCTTTGATATGCCCTCTGATAAGATAAGCATCGAAGTACCATTTCTTATCTCAGCACTTTCTTTGAAGTGAGCAGGGAAGTCTTTTCTTTGAAGTGTTCAGTAACAGGAGGTAAGTCAAAGGTGTGGATTGTCCTTTTTACACATTGACCTCTGCCTTTTAGGTCAGCTCCCAGGCACTCACAGAAGTATCAAAGTATACAGCAACTAAATTCCATATTTCATATCCCCAAGTTCTCAGTTTCTCCACAAGAGTTTATTATTTTAAACTGTGTCTTTATTTGAGAAGGAATACAGCACTATTTATAGCCTGAGGAAAGAATTTCTCTACAAGACACATTGTGTGTTATGATACTGTGGACAAGCCAAACACATAACACAAAGAATTATTCTGGTCTTCTCTCTTACTAATCTAACCAAGAATTATTTTCCAGCAATCTGAGTTCTTTTATACAGTATTTTGGGCTGTCCAATAAGCTATAAATTAACAAGATTAATGAGTCAAGCAAGAGAAGTAGCAGAGGAATTTTTTGAAATAGATCACTCAAACAGGAGAATATGTTTCAGAGGAAATTTAACTATTTCTAACTTTTCAGCAAAAGAGAGAACAATGCTAGAAACCTCAGTGACAATGGGAGCAGCAAAATACATGCTAAATAGGTAGAAAATTAGCAAAACACTAGTCTTAGGCCAATTCCCTGAAGTCCCAGTTTCCCTGAAGTCCCAGTCTTACACACTCTACCCAATAGGGTTATTTTCAAGACACCTCTCCTGTACATTGGACCAGAAATTTAGAAAACATTACATATGTTTAGAAGCTTCCAGTGAGTAAGCTACATGAAATTCACTGCCTGTCACTAAGCTCTATGATATAACCACGTATGGTTAAACTTGTTATATATAGATTTGTAACTCAAAGATTTAAACCAAGCATTATTCAGAACATAATATGCATGCAATGAAAAGCCTACCATATTAACAAGGTCAGATTGATATCCAAGAATAATCTAGAATGGTGCCTTGAGTTACAAACTTAATTGGTTCCAGAAGATGGTTGTAACTCACGTTGGTCGTACAGTGGTGCCTCACTTAACGACGTTCCAGAAAAAACATCGCTAAGTGATTTAATCATTAAGCGATTTGTAAAAGCCCATAGAAAAGCATTAAAACGTGTTTAATGTGTTCCTATGGGCTTCAAAACTAACCTTAAGCAAAGATCCTCCATAGGGGTGGCCATTTTCGGTGTCTCTTAAGCGAGGCAAAACAGCGGGGAGCCATTTTGAAACCGCCGATCAGCTGTTTTAAAACATTGCAAAAGCAGGAAGGAGCAATGTTCCCATCTGCTCTCCTTGTCGAGGGAGCCATTTCTCTCTTTTTTTGCCTGCCTGAGCCCGCCACTGCTTTCCTCCACCGAGTG